ACCACCCTGGCGGCGTGGTTGGTGAAGTAGATTACGCCAGCAATGAAGATGTTGCTTTTTCTGCCAGTTTCGCTGAAATCGAGCTGCACTTCGTATTTTTTGTTATTTTTGGTTTTTTGTGCGCGCTCGCTTACCATGTCTGCTGCGACTAACTGAGTGACCACGAGCGCATTTCATGATTTCGTTTTACTGATTTACCACAGGTTGCGGGTGTGTGCGTAGTAGTCGTGTTGCTGAGGCGAAAATTTTGCAGAAAAATTGCGAAGAAAAATCGCAATTGACGGAAATGAAAATCTTTAGCGTTTTGATATTATTTCAAGCGTAGCTTTTATAGTCGCTTCAGCTCTTGCGCGCTTCTATGTTGCACGCTTTGTTCGTCGCTTTACATTTGCGCTCGTGCTGCCTGCTAGTCTCTGCAGTGTACTTGCTGCAGGAAATGTAGCGTTTGCTTTACAAGTTTTTATCCTTGCCATATATTTTACAAAAATTTGCTTCTCCTGAGCTTTAGTTGCCCATCAGCGAAGCCGTTTTTTAGTTTACCTTGCATTCGGTGTGTAGTCGACTCGCAGGACTCTGTGATTTAATTATTTTAATAAATTCATTTCAAATGACAAGCTGAAGCAGTATAAGCTGCCATTGTAACATGATACTTGCAACGTGTAAGTCATAATTATCAAAGGAGTATGAGAAAGACTAGACGAGTTTAATAAAGAAAGAGCGCTTGAGTGAGAATGCAACTATGTGAAATATTTCGCAACTCTTTTAAAGTTTGTAAGTTAATGCAATGTTTAGAAGCAAGCACTCAGCAAAGAAATTTAAAGACATTAAACGTTGTTTTTCACTTAGAGAAGTTAGTTAAGTTAGGTTAGAGGGGGCGCAGTTGGAATTTAAGGATTTGAGAGTTGTAAAATTAAAGAATATATTATTATAATATTACGACAAAGCGATTTACTCTTTTAAAATATTTTAGCCTCAGCGCCAAATGACTGTTGTGGCGTATTTACTGTTATAATTTATATAAAATCTTGGCTGGAAAATGTAGCGGTAATCGGAAGTATGTAAGTGTGTATGTACTAATGAAATTGTGCTTTTAATCAGAAGAATATAAGAAAGTAATTTTTCCACAATTGAATACACATAATAGAAATAAACGTAAGCCACCACGCTCACTTATTAAAATGCCGCGTGATTAATTGCTGCAAATTCCTTCAACAGATTATTAAGATTCGAATTGCGGTTTTGCAAAAATATTTATTAGTCAAAGCAATAAGTAAAAGTAAATATATAAATACACATACATACATACCAATCATGTATTTATCGATATACTTTGCGCAAATATAAACATGCATACACAAATCTCATCAAAATTCCAAAAAACCTTATGAGCTACGAGGTTTCACCGAAAAGAGTAAATCTCGAATACATCGTATGTAGACATATATAATAGTTTTATTTTTACTGAGGCCCCCTAAAGTTTCCGTTTTTGCGTTAAAAAAAAATTATTCAATAGAAAGAAGTTCTTTATTTTCAATTTAACTCCTGACTAAATCATGTTTATTTTTCCCCTGTATATAATATGAGATCTATTGATATTTTGCATTAAGCAAGGACGCCTACATTTTTGAAAAAAGAATACTCTAATGCAAAATTTCGCGCTATACGAAAAATACACACCTAACAATTTTTTTTATGAAAACATTCTTTTAAAAGTTAAAAATATACATCAAATGTACTGAACATTATTACAGTACGCCGTGTCGTATGCGCAACACAAAACTTGTGAGGCATTTGTATAATACCTACGTACATAGGTTGCCTTTTATATTTCGTGATTAGGCAACCCTAGTGTTGCAATCTGGCAACCACAACCTTATTGTAAAGTTTGACATTTTTGTTGTTATACATACTATAACTACTATATATGACATATGAGCGCTTTTTGTGTTGTTTACAGTAACTTAAAATATTCAGCTCGACAAAAAAATGGAAATAAATCTTAAAACTTTTCGCGCCATTAATTTTTACACTTAATTAGGTTTTTGGCGATGAAGTTCCATCAAGTACCAGCGTTTAGCGACGATATGGAGAATTTAATCGATATCATAGATTACTCCAAGACAAATTTCGTGAAGGTCGTCTAAAATTAGTGGTTGTTGCGGAAACTATTGTTGCTGTGGGCAAACTGATATTGCAAGATCGTCATGTGTATTATCGTGAGGCAACTATAGACCATATAGAGGGACCAGCATACATTCAACATTGCATGAACATTTGTTTGTACAAACATTTTGTTCACGTTGGAAATCGCACAATTGTCAATCACTCCAAAAAAAAGGCTGAAGAGGCGGTTGATGCATATAGAACGCATATTTTGGAGATACCTCAAACTGAGCGGCAAAAGTGCTTCGACAATTGGTTCAAACGCATGCAAAAGTGTATAGGGTTTTATGGCGACTCTTTTGAAAAACAAAAAAGCGATTTTCTATGTTTAATATTAGTTTTTGTTCTCTAATCCCTAAATATAAAAGACAAACCTCGTAATATTCTTTATCTGATTTTCAACTTATTACAATTGTGATTACCTACGTAAATGCAACTCTGGCATTTCTAAATGTAAATTGTTACATTTTAGTTAGTTTTAGTTGAAATAACGGCGTGTCGCATAAAATCTGCGTCAAAGTTTCATAATTTAACTTGCACAACTTTTGCGCGTGCAATTACTCTAGTAAAAAACTCATCGCTTTACTTCTGCATAAGCAAATGCTATAACCATACAACAACATATTTGTCAGCAAAAAAAGACAGAGTTGCGGTATATTTGGCGTAAGCACAATAACGCTTGCGAATTTTGAAATGTTTTGCTGAAAGTTGCAGTATCAAAAATGATAAGTTACGTTGAAAAAAAGTATTCGAAACTAAATATAATATTATATAGTATACTTGTGTCGGTATATTTTAAACTCATCGCGGCTTGTAAAACACAATTTAAGCGCGTCAAGTAGAGCGATGGCCCAGCAGCACCACCACAAAGTCAATGACACTAACTTCAACAATTTGGCTGTTTGGTCCAACTTTGACGAAGTGAAAGTTGTGCACGAATTACAAAAATAAAAAAATGAATAAACGACTACAATGCGGGCCACAATAAGCTCTAACTAACTAACATAATGACTGAGCGCAGTTTCCATGCACAAATTCTTCGACGGACGAAGTTTAAGTATTAACAGGATATATCAACGCAGCATATATATAAAGTCAGAGCTGATAAAATGTTAGCGCAAACTTTATACATTTATTTTATTACAAAAGATATTATTTGTAATAGTGGACTAAAACGAGGTTACAACAAAAAAATAAAAAATTGCCTTGTAGCGAAACTTTGTAAGAATCATTTGTTTTATTATATTTTTTTTTGCTCTGAGGTTAACAATAACTTAAATAATATTGTATTATTATTATGTTGAAATATAAGTTTCGGCAGACTTTTGTATTTGTCATTTTCTCAAATTTATTTAATTATATTTGTGGACTAAAAGCTCGTATAAAAGAATTAATGCAAAACAAAAAAATCTTCATGAAAAATGTGTAATTTACGACAACGTCAAGCGAAAACGGTCGTGTTTGGTTTACAGTAAGCGATCCAAACGGTGATCAAGCCGGAATTGACAGACAGAAAAGTTTTACTATGTATTTATTCTATGCCCTATCTACCATAACCTATGTTTTCTATCCCATATAACCAAATTTTTAATTCGGATCTGTACTGTCACCAATTGGACCCTCTGGACGAAACAACTGCCCAGTAGCCAGGCCAGTCATGTGAATCCTGTTTCATCAGGACAACGCCAGGCTAAACACATCGAGAGTGACTCGCCAGAATCTCCCAAAGCTTGGGTGGGAGGTTCTTATACATTAACTTTATAGTCCCGAGCTGTTGTTGTCTATACCGACGGATTTTGCGGTGAAAAATTGCCTCAAGTTAAGGCGATAGGAACGACACACACACAAAGATTTCTAGCATTTTGGGAACTGCGTTACTGTTGGCAACTACAACTTTGAAAAAGTTAAGAACTTTGTATATCCAGCGAAACCAGCATAAGTTCTTCTAACAATCTAAGCCAGTATATTAAGCGCAGAATAACTCTTGATAACAGCTGTTCGTAGGGATCAGTAGGCAATTGAGAAGCATACCCTTTTCTCGCTCTATACCCGCTCTATTGTACGTCGCAGAAATCTGGACCATAACAAACCGATATGAAAAGTCACTAGGAGAAATCGGAAGAACTGAACTAAAAATCCAATGAATGCGTTGGTGAGGCTATGTCGCTCACATGGAAGATGATGCCCCAGCGAAAAGCTAGAAAAGCCTAACTTTGGTTGCAGCGAAGCTATAATACCCTTCACAGGTACAGTATAGTACAAAAGGGTATACAAGAGTCTATAACCTACATTTGTCCGATCTGAACAATACGTTCGAAAACTCGAGCAACACCTTGTATAATAATCTATGCAAAATTTTATGACGACTAATGAAAGAGTTTTACATACAAGCACTTGAGTCCAATCGTTCAGTTTGTATGACAGCTATGTGCTATAGTTCTCCGATATCGGCGGTTCCGACAAATGAGCAGCTTCTTGGTGAGAATTGGGCGTGTTCAAAATTTCAGATCTATATACCAAAAACAGCGAGGCTAGTTCGCTTATATATACAAACGGACAGACCAACAGAAGAATGGACGGACAAATATAAAAATTGACAGACAGACGGACATGGCTAAATCAACTCAGTTCGTCACACTGATCATCTATATACATATATACTTTATAGCGCTCCCGACGCTTGCTTTTAGGTGTAAGAAACATCGTAGCATATTTAATATACCCTGTTCAAGGTTAAATTATATGAAGATTTTTAAATTCAAAATTTCTAATAATCAGTCAAATTGCTCAAAAATATTTACGAATAAATACACTCAATTCAAATTTAATTTACTTACCCATATTGTAGAGCATTTAAGAATTGTATGAGCTTTGCTGCTTTCCATCACTACACAAACTTTCTTCACATGTAACATTAGTCAACAGTTGTCAATAATTTTCATAGAAGAAAATTCTTCTGTGCGCTTGAATTATAATCATTTTACAGGAACACCGCATTGTATAGAGATGATTTCTGATAATTCTCCGCTCAGCAGTGAACACTCCGAAGATGATGCGTTGCCGTCAAATTACCATTGGCTCCGTTTCAAATGGATGTTTTGGAAAAATTGCTGCATGCACTGGAACACACGTTGGGAATTTCTATTTGCCTTACTTATGCCGAGCATATGCAGTCTCATAGCAGTTATACTGCGCATTAACATACCCGCCGAACACCTCACAACCATAAATTACGGCGATACGGATATAGAAAAAGCATGGAGGGCCGTAATTCGCGAAGTTGATAAACGTAGAGTTATTCTAGAAGACAGTTTCGATAAGTAAGTAATAACATGTTAAATGAAATATAAGCATCCCAGAAGATCTACATATGTGTTAACCCAAACGAATTTACTTAATGTAGTTCGATTTGGCTGAAATCACGCTTACCTGTCATATGACAGAATTTTAAACTATGCCGGACTATCGTCCTTTACTATATACATACAAGCCAGCTCTTAGCTAAAAATGATTGACAACGAGTTATATTTTTTCAAGCTACCAGTTATCGAATAGGAATAACCAAGTGCTTAGAACCGACTTTATATAGGAAATATCGGTTAATGTATAAGCTATGCTAATGCAATTAAGTGTAAATCCTTCTTTTGATAATAATGTGACCAATTGGTAAAAATGGAAAAATCGGTTCAGTACTTCTCCTCGACCAGTGCTATTAATAAAATTACAAGCGAAGCATGTTCAGTATCTAAGATAACAAAACCAAACTATGTGAAGAGTGAAAATAAGTTGATATTTTGCACGTCCAGTGCCAAAAAGCTATCAATGAAAAGAGTAGATGATGATCAGTCTATACCTTGCCCTAGTTCCAATATAGCGCCTTCCACCTTCAAGTAGTCTTTCTGTTGAATATCCATTCATTATGTGAGATATTTTAATGGCAAGCTATTTCTGGCATAATATTGTTGTTCCTTGTTCCCCTAACCCCCATATATCCAATATATCGATTACGCCGTTCTGTTTGGTTATTTCTGGTTTCATACTTACAAATTGGGAGAGTATATATTGTTCGGCTGCACATGAAAATGTGTGGTTTTTTGAAAATTATAAAAATTGCAACGAAATTTGAACTTTATGATAGTACTAAGTTTCAAAATATAGCCTTGTAGCGTTGCCACCTTATTCGAATTATGTAAATAATTGACTTTTTGATGATATGAAAATACATAATAGTATGAGTATATCAAAAAATCTTGAGTTAAAAAAGATATATAAGATGACATGGTGTTGCCACCTTTACCTAAATTGAAAAATAGGCGTTTTCTCTAAATTACCAAAATGGCAACGAAATTTGAACTTTATAATAATACTAAGTTTAAAAATTTAATTTTGTAGCGTTGCCGCCTTATACGAATTATACCAAAAATTAACTTTTTAAAAATATGAAACTACATATAAGTATATCAAAAAACTTGAGTTAAAAGATATACATACATATATGTATAAGATGAAACGGTGTTGCCACCTTTACTCAAATTGAAAGTTTGTGTTTTTTCTGTAAATTATAGAAATGGCAACGAAATTTGAACTTTATAAAAATACTAAGTTTCAAAATTTAGTCTTTTAGCGTTGCCACTTTATTTGTATTATAAAATTTATTGAATTTTTGAAAATATGAAAGCAAGCAAGAAGAAATCTTGTTTTATGTGTTTTTGTTTTTGTAATAAAACTATAATATTATATATTCTAATATTAGCGTAATTTATGTTTGCCTTCTCCAGTCCAGTACATACTCCATATGTGCCACTCATTACCATCGCGTATGCGCCGGATTTCGAAGCAATTAACAATATTATGAAGCTCTCATTTGATAAGTTCGAATTGGACAACGCATACATAACCTTTAAAACATGCAATGAGCTGCGCAAGAAGATGAAAACTGAACACTACTTTGCTGGCGTTTGCTTTAATGAGGCCGTATTTAATGTTGTGTCTGTCTCGATATTCAAAATTGGCATATATCCAAATCGTTTGGATTACATTATTCTATTTCCCAGCGAGTTGCGCTTATATGACGAATATATAGGCGAAACCTGGGACACAAGAACTGTATATCCGAATTTAGGACAGCAAGAACGGAAAGGGGGTCCAATACCTTATATAACGGAAGGTTTCATTATGATACAGAAAACGATCTCAGAAGCTTATATAAATTTGACTTGTAATACCACGATTGAAGAGCCGATTGTATTAAGGAAATTTCCGAAAGCAGAGCGTTATTATGATCCACTTTCGGAAATGTTGGAAATGCGTTTGTCGTTATTGATATCTATGGCATATATAACCACAATATTGTATTTATTACGAGTGGGTATTTCGTATTTATTTACACACATTTGGTTTATTATGACATGACTTATGTATTTTTAGATTTTGGTCAATGAGCAGGATATCGGATTAAATGATTTGCTAGCCACTTTAGATGTGACCTATTTTCTACAGTTTTATAGCTGGTTTACCTTTTCCCTCATTTCATTATCCATTGGTTCGGCTGTCATGATTCTAATATTAAAAGTAAGTACATTTATCATTAGCTTTTTCTAGTAATTAGGATTCTGTGTTCTCAATACATTATTGCAACTCACACCAACACGTTTGGCAAATATTTTTTATTTCTTAATCCATTTTAGATTCCTTGGAACAGTGGCTTCTGTGTGTTCAACAGAGTGTCTGCTACATGCTTATTTGCTCTTTTTACCACCTATAATATAAATACACTGAGCTACTGCTACATGATATCACGACTGATTCGAAACCGCGATATGGCCATTTGTGCAGCGCCTATTTTCTGGATCGCCCTATACTTACCATTTTCCATCGGTGTCGATTTATTCCCCTCTTACCATCCGTATGTTTGTTTTTTTGGCAATACAGCCCTTGCGCTAGCATTACAGCATATATTTCAACTACAATATCATGAAGGCGTTAGTTGGAATAATTTTTTTAAAACTCACTGGTCCACGCCGCACCATGCTGTCGGCACCTATGGAATAATAATATGCGGTACAAGCATAATGCAGGCGTTACTTGGTATATGTGCACCGGTTATAAGACGCATGTGCACCAAATTGATAAAAGCATTTAATCCGCGTAAGAAAAAGGAGCGTGCTCGTATTAGTTCTGAAAATAACCGTTATTCGAAAACAATCATATTAGAGGTTAGAGCAAATTTCAAGCCACCAGCTGTAGAAGTATTGGCACTGACTGTACAACGTGGTAACAAATTAGTGCTCGATGAAGTTTCATTCAATTTGTATGAGGACGAAATCACTATGTTGATGGGTCATAACGGTAGCGGCAAAACGACACTACTACAAGTTATTGCCGGTCTTAAGCTGCCCACTTCTGGTAAAATAGTTATTAAAGATAGCAGTGGAAATGGAGAATTTGGGAATTCGCGTGATTTTGTTGGTGTATGTTTCAGCGATTCGCTGCTCTTTCGTAATTTGTATGTTGTTCATCAACTGCTTTTATTCGGCAAGTTAAAGGGTTTAAATTCGGCTGATCTCAAAAAAGAGACCACTAAATATTTAGAAGCATTGGAGCTAGACAAATATCGCTACACACTCACTGAAAACCTAACATGTGGCCAACGCACGAAGTTAGCGGTTTCGTGTGCGCTTATTGGTGGCAGTAAGGTCGTTCTGCTGGACGACATTGTGCTGAAATTAGACGTGCGTGACTATAAACTTATTTGGAAGTTGTTGGAACGTGAGAAATTCGGACGTGTTATATTCGTATCGACAAATTTAAGTCGTGAACCGGAGTTACATGCTGATAATATTATTATGTTGGCTCAAGGACGATTGAAATGTGCTGGAACTGCTCAGTTTCTAAAGTCCATGTATTGCTTTGGATGTCATTTGGTGAGTTATTTTCTGTAGACCTACATGCTATAAAATTTAATTCTGTAATTTTTTTATAAAACTTAAAATTTTTAACTTAAAAATTATATAATGAAAGAAGGAAACGTATAAATAACGGTACCCGGAAACCTTATATATTTTTGGGTATGTGCTTCGAAGCTTTAGCTTCTACTTTAGAGTCTGACCATAAATGCTTTAGATATTACAAAAAATGGATAACATGAATTCCGAAATCGGCTGGAAAAACTGCGATAGAAGACACAGCGGCTGTTAAGCACATGCGAGTTCCATTGATCCATTACGCCAATGGAGATCCAACTCGGTCACATTACAAAGCGAGCGCGAGAAGTGTGCCCCCTCTGGCTAGCTCATCGGCCTTGCAGTTGCCAGCGATACCGCATTGACCAGACACCCTAACGGGTCTGGCGATGAAGTACATTAATGCTATTTCTAGTGAGTACAGACACTCCCTGGCCAGCTTTGAGCGCTTAGTTAGCGAGCTTAGCGCTAGTATTGCGTGCTGTCGGAATGAAAGCTCACCTTTCTGTAAGGGGCCGCACTTTGTAGCAGTACGTGCATCGGCACCTTAATAGCAGCCACTTCAGCCTAAAAAACACTACAGTGGTCCGGTAGCCTAAAACTAAGATTGACAGAGAGCCACTTATAGAAAACTTCCTTTCCAACCTTCCCTCCTAGCTTCGAACCATCCAAAAAACGCACTTCGCCTTTTCTCCAGCGACTTCTCCCCAGCCACAAATACCTCCTCGTTAGCAGAGAAACAACCGCCACGAGTGGCCTCTGCTACGCTGGGTTCCAATTTTTTGGTAATGCAGTTAAAGGAGGAGAGAATATCGGTCCCTGTTCGGACATTTTCAAATACTTTAGTACTTTTGTTTGCTTTACATAAGTTCTTTATGTTTCTCTAACACCTTTTCTTTCAATAGCTCATATCGAAATCTGAGAACTGTAAGTCCGAAGAAATAACAAAACTGTTGAGCAATTTTTTAGAAGATATTGTAGTAGCTTGCGATCTTATATTGGAATTATCATATCACATCGAATCCACCAATGTGGAAATTCTCGAGTCGCTTCTTAATGCGTTGGAAAAAGACAAAGATAGACTGGGCATTGTCAACATAACGATAATTGAAACGCGCATTGAGGAGCTCTTTTGTAAGCTCGGTGCAGAGCGACCCGCTTATGATGATCGCAAACGCTACTTCCGCATCTTCAATGGATTAAGCATTACCGAGGACACAGCCGACGACACCTTGTTTATGAAAGCGAATATAGAACATCATATGAGTACATTTGAAAAATACTTTAATCACTGGCGAGCCATGTTTTACAAGTTTTTCATTATACAAAATTCTTACGCACCTTATTTACCGTTGTTCATGCTTATGCCATTAATGACAATCATACTATGTATAATCGGTATAGTGCCCGTAATCGAAAATATGCCAGTTAGAGTGTGTGACATTAACGATTACAAAGATGCCGTAACTCTAATTAACTATCCACAAAAGACGAACTTAGAAATGATTTCATTTGCAGAAACATTTCACAAATATATGTATTGGCGAAATAGTAATATTAAAGTTTTATATATCAAAAATCAACTAATCGGTGAATATATATTATCGCAACAGCGTCAGCAACCCTATAATTATTTGGATGAAAAGGTAATACTTGCATTGTCCATGACGCGACAGGTGGTTGGTTGGTACAATGGTTATTTGCCCAGTGTGCCATCGCTCGTTCTAAATCTTATACACAATGCATTTCTCTGGTAACAAACAATACGCTAACGTATGCTGAACACGCGTGATTGTCTGCTTTTTTGTTTGCTTTTACAGGCAATTGCGTAATACGACTGATGCCAAGATCAATGTATACCTGGAGTTGTTACCTATTGAAGAAGATATTGATGTTAAGGAAATATCTAAAATGACATTTAACATGGGCAGCATAATGGCTTTGCAGTTGTCCTTTATCATATGTTACATAATATCTGTAAGAATAATTGCTTTGATTTCGGAGCGTACAAGCGGTTTTGAGGATTTGCAGCGATTGGCCGGTTTGAACGGCCTCAACTATTGGACCAGCATGTTTTGTTTTGATATGATCAAGACATTTGTTGTTGTGGCAGGTTTTACCATTGTAGCGTGGGGATTATTATCCTCAGCTTACATAACGGCGGATGTTTTACGTAAGTGTTACTGCAATATACGCCTAAGCACATTAAAAAAAAATTTCATATATTCTATAGGCTGGGCTTTTTTTTTACTACTGTCGACGAGCGCTGCCTTAACTGCGACCAACTACATACTCAGCTGTTTCTTTTTCAAAAGCAGCTACGGTGGTTTTTTGAAAATTACAGCATTACAGGCGCTTGGTGCAATCTTCTATGTGCTATTCTCTAGAAATTTTAAAACTTATATCAACACTATCATGTTTATACCTCGCTTATTTCCATTGTATTCATTCTGTAGAGGAATCGAAAATTTGTATGACTATAATATTCAATTGCAATTGTGTGAAAATGAGGACATCAAATTCGCCGCAGTGTCTTTCGAACACTGTCAAATGGAACCAAATTGCTGTGGTGAGTGCTTGTTGTACAACAACTTTGTAGCATTGCGAAAATGTGTAACTTCTTTAAATGCAGAAACACCCTCAATTTCGGTACGCGAGGATATGTTCTACTTATGGTTAATTATCGTTGGGGGAGCGATTGGCTTAATAATTTACGAATACCGAGATGTTTTTAAACCCTCCACACCATTTGACAATTAGTAAGTGCACATATATTATAATACTATAGTATGTATAAAGCAAACAATAAGTAAACACTAAAATTATGCAATTTTCAAAAAGCGATCGTGCATTAGACGAATACAAGCGACGACACGCTAGTGACTCTTACATGGTAGATAACGTCACAGCCGAAGTCATACACGTGCAGTCATTGAGACCGCGTATGCGTCACTATTATACGGTTATTTGTGAAAATTTGGGCTTATTTCGAAAAGGTGAACTTTTGGTGGACCGTCTATCTTTCACTATCAAACCGTGAGTAAAGCATATAGCGGTTTAAATGGTTACATGGGTTTCCTCGAGAAAAAAAACGGCCTATTTTCAATATTTTTAGCCATATAAAAAATTAAATATTTTATTAAAAAATTTTATTGTTCCAAAAGTATATATTTTACAAAGGTTTTGCAAAATTTTAAAAGAAATATATTCAAAAATCGGGCATTACGGCGCCATTTCCAGCAGTCTCTTAGAAAAAATGTGTCTCCGTGTTGACAACAGAACTTCTTAAAGGATCAGCTAACGTAAGAAAGAAAAAAGTTACGTGTTTATTCAAGATCATAATTTAGGTATTGGCCGAAGGGATAAAAACATAAAAGTGAAAATTGTGTTGTCGCAGACGTTTTTACAAAAAAAAAACAAAAAATTCAAATTTTGGAAAACATTTTTCGAAGTTTTCGTTTTTAAATCGTTGTAATTGAAAAAAAAAATCTTTCGTTCAGGAACTTAAAAATTATATCTCGAAGACCCGTGTAAACTTTCATTAACAGCGGTTGAGTAGTTCGCGAGAAATCTTGATAATTGACTTTGGAAACACAGTTTCGAGAAAAAGACGTTTAAAGTTTTAAGTGACCATATACCTGACCGCGAGTGCGCAACTTTTCAAGACTGTATCACCAAAACTACTACTTGGAGCTATTTGAGCATTTAGAACAATATTTTAGAGATGTTATAGAATTAAATAAGACAAGGCCGTAAAACCTATGTAACCACTTAAAATAATATTGTACTAAATAATCAAATCCGCCAAAAAAACCATTTCCAATAACCTTGCAGCGGTGAAAAGTTCGGTATCATCGGCACTAACTGTAACTATACGAATGCTTTGCTGCGTCTAATTGCTGGTCAGGATAAACCAAGTTTTGGCCGTGTTTGCATCAATGCCGTGCAAATGACGGAAGACAGTAAAAAAGCACTGGCCAATATCGGTTATGTGCCCACCGTTAGTTGTGTACATACGCAGATGACTTGCTATCAGGTTTTGAAAATGTTCTGTACACTATATGGCTATCCGCAGCATCAAATCCATGATATTGTTGATGATTTCGCAAAACATTTCGGCTTAGACTCACACTATCATACACGTTTGTCACAGTGTAGTTCGGGTATAAGAGAGAGAATTTCCTATTCCATAGCGATCTTAAAGAAGCCCGCACTCTTGTGTATCGGAAATTTCAGTTGGACTGTGGATCCGCATGGTAGACGTCAGCTTTATCGCCTAATCGATGGCCTGCGTAAACGTGGTACAGCCATAGCAATTACATCCGTTATGAATTCTTATACCGAGATATTGTGCACAAAAATTGCGGTCATGCATGAGGGACGTTTTCTGCATATCGGGGAACCACAAAAGATAGCGCATGCAATTGCTGCAGGTTATTCGATTTCGATGCGCATGAAGAAAACGGTTCAAACACCGGGAGGTGTCACATCGAAGGTCTACTTCCGCTTAACAGCTTTTATGGAGAAAACATTTCCCAGCTCCAAATTGATGTAAGTGCCGAATACATACATATTTATATTTATAATCCTAACATTTTCCATAATTTCAGTCAAGAGGGCACTATTATGAAATACTATATACCTTATCAGAGCACCACATTGGGCACTTTGTTTAAAATTTTGCGTGTGAATTCATTTCAGCTGAACATCGATAGTCTTACAATCACTAGAATTAATATGAATTATATATTCGAGCTGATAGCCGAGGATGCGCGAAAGTCGAAGAGCTTATAAAAACACTAAAATATCTACAAATATAGTCGATATAGGCAACTCATTGTAAACTTGTTACGTTCGTTTGGTTTTTTTTTTTAAATGAATTATAATTGAATTATTGTTTTGAATGTTTTCAAAATCAAATATAACTTCTTAATTTCAGTTTAAGAAATATTATTTTTTTAACATTATAAGCCTCTTCAACCGAGTTTTTAGTGCCAAAAGCATGGTTTGAGTATATTTAAGTTGTTTTTCGGTAGGTGACAGGGTAGCTCTGTGCAAGTTAACAAAGAAAGTGAGCCACTGCTGATTTTACAAGGATGCCTTGTTTGACATTTTTTGAAAGAGGCTCACTCGTTTTCGGCTCTATTCGCTACAAGCAATTGTTAGAAGGATAGTTACAAATCAAGTTACGTTCCTGGAGAGAAGTAGAAAGTGCCAGGCGAAGGTAAATTGTATGAAACGTATTTTTCACCTGGTACTTTGTATGCATGCACGATATCTATTTTTCGAAAAGACGAAAAGTTATTTATGAACGTAAACGACTGAGCGTATAAAGTATATATCTATTAGGGTGGAGCGAAAAAAAAAATTTGTTTTTGCTTAACCTGAGGGTAAAATTTGTAGATTATAAAAACAGAAAATTTTTGGAAAAACAATTTTTTTTTAAACTCACTTTTAAAGTAAATTTCGAGTAAAAATTTTCTTTGACCAAAAAAAATGTTTTTATGGTTTAAACTCTTCACGTTTATATAAAAATTACCGAATTGACGGTTTTTGACTCAAAATTTTTAAGTTGACAACTTTAATTGGCCAGAAAGAGGACGAAATAAAAATTTTACTTGAAATTTACTTTAAAAGTGAGTGGGCCGCCTATAGATGTTAAAAAATTTTTTTTTTGTTTTCCAAAAATTTTCTTTATTTATAATCTTCAAATTTTACCCTCAGGCTAAGTAAAAAAAAAAATTTTTTTTCGCTCTACCCTAATATCTATATAAATTATCAGCATGATGAATCGATTCAGCCATGCCTGTCCATCTGTCTGTATATATGCGAACTAGTCTCTAAATTTTTGAGATATCGATATGACATTTTGCGCACGTCCTTTTCTTAACAAAAGACTGCACATTTGTTGAAATCGCCGATATCGGTTCACTATATCATATAGCTGCTATACAAACTGATCGATTAAAATTAAGTTAAAGAGATATCGACGTAATTTGGCACGAATCATTTCCCAAAGCAACAGTATAATATCCGAACGAATTGTGCAGATCGGATCACTATAGCATATAACGGTCATATAAACTGAACGACCAAAATAACGTTCTTGTATGCAAAACTGTTTTTATTCTATTCTGGTAGTCAAATGTAATGCATGATGAATGTAGAAAATAAAATTCGGTACACATGTGCCTTACGTAATGCTCATAAGCACTATAAGCAAGTTATTTCCCACCACTGTGCACAACTGCGACTTGTGTCAGTTGTGAAAGCAAATTTTTTTTTTTTTTTTTATTAAGTTTCATCTGTCAGTTGCTCAAATTAGAATTTTTTCTATTTTCAATGTGAATTTCTTAATTTGTATGAATTGATAGTGCGACGTGTTTGCTGCTTAAAAATGTCATCGGACCTCTCAGCGTTGAGCACCGGACGCTCTGAGGAGGAATTGGAGCCGACAAACTACAATTGGTTACGTTTCAAATGGATGTTTTGGAAGGATTGCTTTATGCATTGGAATACGCGTTGGGAGTTTCTGGTCGCGCTGCTTATGCCCAGCCTTTGTGCGCTCATCGTCATCATTCTCCGTTTTAATATTTCGGCTGAGCACATAACAGCTATGCCGTTTAGAATCGAGGATATTGATGAAAATTGGAAACGTCTGTTGAACATCATTGTGGGACGTCAAAGTGCAATTGAAAAATATTTGGGCACGTAAGTGACATGTTTATAATTTTTGAGATCTTATACGTTACACATTTATTGCATAAATATATATGGTATATGAATTTGTTTTTGCTTCAAGTCCTTCATATAATGTGTACGCACCGCAGATTGTGATCGCTTATGCGCCGGATTTTGAGGCAATCGTTAATATTATGGCGTTGACGAAAAGGTTACAATTAACAAGTGATCAATATATTAGTTACAACACTTGTAAAGAACTGCGTGCGCGGATGGCAAGTGAGTATTATCTGGCCGGAATTTGTTTTCACGAAGGCGTCTTTAATATTGAATCGGAATCCATATACAAAATTGGCATATATCCAAATAGATTGGAGTATAAAATTATTTTTCCCAGCGAATTGCGTTTATATAAGGAATATATAGGCGAAACTTGGGATACCAGATATTTATTTCCGAATGTTGAGAAGCACGAGCGTCACATGGGATTCGTACCTTATTTGGGTGAAGGCTTCATTATGTTACAGAAAACAATTTCAGAAGCGTATATTTATTTAACTTGCAACAAATCGCTTAGCGATGAATTATTTTTGCGACGGTTTCCAATAGCAGAACATTATTACGATCCAATTTCCGAAGCGTTGGAGCTGCGCTTATCACTGGTATTAGCGGTGGCATATATTTGCACACTCCTGTATTTGCTACGGGTAAGAGCAATGATAGTTTCTAAATGAAAAACGTGGACTAATCACAATGAAACATTTCAGATCCTAATTAATGAGCGTGAAGCCCAATTACATTCCCTCTTGGCGATTTTCGATGTGACCTACTTCATACAATTCTATAGCTGGTTCGTTTTCTCACTAATTTCTATATCCCTTAGCACCACTTTGCTGCTAATAATTTTAAAGGTACGTATTGTTCAATTAAAGTAGCTAATTATACTAAATATTTCGGGATTCTGAAAAAATATGCGCATAAAAATTTTAAAAATAATGTTAGAAAGCATTCTTAAGTGAAAAGCATCTAAAAATAGTAGTAAAACCGAAACATTGCTACGAAATTTGGTAGCGTCCCGGTCGCAAGGACAGCATAACGAAGGCTGAAGTGATTTAAATATATATTTTGTTTTAACAAAAAAGTTTGTTTGTTGTCAATATTTGAAAATATCGAGTAAAAGTTTGTGTTTTTTGGGATTAGAGAAAAAAAAAATATTAAACACCGAAAAACGCTTTATTGTTGTTGAACATTTTCTCCATTAAGACCTATACACTTTTGCATGTGTTCGAACCAATTGTCTAAGCACTTTTGCCACTCTGATTGAGGTATCTCCAATATAAGCGCTAGAACAGGCAGGTTGGATTCAGCTCATCTTGAAACACCCAGTAGCAGTCGACTGCTGTTAACTTTCAGGCTCATTCGCGTAAGTCCACAATTCATCACCCGTCACGATGTCATAGACGTGTTTCGAAGCACCGCTTTCGAATTTTTCTTAACATTTCTCCCGACCAATCCACACGAGCCTGTTTTTTGAGCGATTGACAATTTGTGGCGATCTACCATAATTTTTTTTTTTTATATTCAAATGTGCATCTAATGTTGAATGTGAGTTGATCCCACTATATAGACCATATGTATAGTTCTCTCAATCACACCATAAGTAGTTTCCGGAACGACAACTGATTTTGGACGACCTTCACGAAATTCGTATTGGAGTGATCTACGATATCGACTGAATTTACCATACCATCGATGAGCACTGGTCCTTGATGAAGCTTTATCGCCAAAAATTTAATTAAGTTAGTCGATGCACTCTAGCTGAGTTGATCCCAATCGTGTAATGTAAAAACTAATCACGCTAAAATGTTTGCGATGTAATTTAATTTTTTTGGCCGAGTTGAATATTTTAAGTTACTGTAAACAACACAAATAGCGCTCGTATGTCAAAATGTTCTGAGTGTGTATAACGTCAAAAGTTTTAAAATTTACGATAAAGTTATGAGTAGCCAAATTGCCATACTAGGATTGCCACATTCCGAAATATATTAAGGCAGCGTACGTACAAAAAAACAACAAAAAAAAAGTTAAAGAGCGAAAAGGTATATGTGATCTAAGATACAAGCCAAGTTCACAAGAGCAGGTTAGATAAAATTTTCTAAAGTAAATCAGGGTTTGCTTCTTGGTATAGATTATGTATATTGCGGCAACTTTATATGTTTAATTCTTGTCTATATATTGTACATTTAAAGTTCCTAACAACATACTCCTCTACTTATTGGTTTTCAGGTTCCTTGGAATAGTGGCTTCGGTGTCTTCAATAAATCTTCGTACTCTTGCTTATTTGCACTCTTTACCGCCTTTAATATAAATACGCTGAGCTACTGCTATATGATATTTAAATTATTCCGTAATTCGCATATGGCAATTTGTGCTGCACCTATTATCTGGATCTTGTTGTATGCACCATTTGCCATTGGAAATCATACGTCACCCTTGAGCCATGTTTTACATCCTTACATATCGTTACTTGGCAATACAGCATTTGCATTGGCATTGCAAAATTTATTTCGACTTCAAGCCCACGACGGTCTAAATTGGTCGAATTTCTTTAAAAATGATTGGCAATCCGATTACTACAGTATCGGCTCCTACTCATTAATAATGTGTGGTACGAGCATAATTCAAGCTTTAATTGGCATATTCGCACCGATTATTGGCCGTACTTTGAGCAAACTTACGAAAATGTTTAAACGAAAACCGCAACGCATTCGTGTTAGCACAGATAGTAATCGTTTTTCGAAAACCATAATATTTGAGGTTAGAGCAAATTATAAAGCACCCGCGGTGGATGTGATGGCAATCACAGTGCAAGTCGGCGATACAATTATTCTGGAGGATCTTTCATTTAGTTTATATGAGGATGAAATCACTATGCTAATGGGCCATAACGGTAGTGGCAAAACCACATTATTAGAAGTTATTGCCGGTTTCAAAAGACCGACGTCGGGCAAAATCGATTTCAAGGGAGACACTCTAAATAAAGAATATGGTAGTCCGCGCGATTTTATTGGTATCTGTTTCAACGATTCGCTGCTCTTTTGTAATCTGTATGTGAAACATCAGCTGATGTTATTTGGCCGATTGAAGGGTTTAAATCCAACTGATCTAACGAAAGAGGTGCATAAGTATTTGGTAGCTTTAGAGCTTGATGTCGAACAGTATACGCTCACCGAGAAACTAACATGTGGTCAGCGAACTAAATT